CACAATACTTGTCTGTCGCGTGCCAAAACAAATGCGCAGTTATCACCTCCATACACAAATTCCCAAACCTCGGTCATTTTGAATTTATAATATAGTCATTAGCGACATCTTTGAATTAGCGAATCAGTTCTCTCGCTAAATTCGCGAAAAAGACATGTTTTACAGTATATGGTTCAGAGTAATACAAATAATTTGATATGGACACATTATTTCTACTTCGATTATAAATTCATAGTAAATCAATTAAAAAACGCAAACCGAATTTTATTTAGTAAATACCAATGTCAAGTCAAGAACACAAATATTATCAAGCAAGAAGATAGACGAACTTGATTTCCATAAGACCATCAAGATCTCTTTAGCGAGATAACCACGCACTTGTTTCCCCCCCCCCCCGTCCCGTTTCAGTGCTCCATACTCTCCCTTCTGTTCATCTGACCCATGTAACCATAGCACTGGAATATTGGACGCGACGACGGGAGAGAGTGGTACACTATCACCAACTGAATCCGTTGCAGTTACTTCCAGTATGACAGTTAAAGGGCGGAAGTAGTCGCGCTGCGCATGTGTGACATTTGTGTTGATAAACATTGATTATCCTACAATCCAATACGCTTTTCTAATGGAAATCAAAGGTATGAGATTTGACCTGAACGCGACTTGCGTCTCAGCGCAACAGTCAAAGTCGCCATCTTTGTTTATATTTGATTCATATATCTCGCGCATGCGTGGCGCGACGACTACCGCCCTTTAATAAAACTACAGATTGAATTCAATGCGATCTCAAGAACAGCTTGAAGCTCCGAAGCACAATACACATATTAATACTAACACACGTGTGTGTTAGCATTATTACATATAGTATATATTTATCGTAGTTCGTGACAACAAATTTATAAAGTTTAATTGCGTTATATCATTCGTTTTTACAAATACACTTGTAGCTTAAAAAATAGTACCAGCATACATTACCACGTGATCATCACGTCACGTGGATTAGTTCCCAAGCATATACTTATCTAAATAGGTGAATACTGGTTGAAAATTCTTGGTTCCCTTGATATGGTGTTCGTAGTGCGCCGTGGCCCCTCCCATCATTCCATGCGGCATAATTTTGTTATAGGACCAAGGTAAATCGTAACCCATGTGACTTTCTACTAAGAAACTGACATACAGAGGGATGAACAAAGTACGTGTTAACGGATGGCTACCGATCACCTTCAGAGCAAAGTTGGCGATCAGGACAATCGCGACTCGTTCCACTACATTTAGCTTGTTAGTGACACGACTATTTATTCCTCCTGTCGAATGGTTATGATGGCATGAATGGATATTATCATAAAGCCAGCGGTTTTTATGAAGTGCGTAGTGCAGGACGAAAAACATAAAATCGTAGATAATAAACGCTACAATCAAATGAACAACCGACCACATGACATTGGGAGGGTCCACGGGCAATATGCGTTCGGTCTGAATCCAGTGTTTACGTACTTCCACCAAGTCTTCGTCGGTAACACCGGCATACTTTTTGACCATGAACGTATCTAAGGTCGCCAACGGGGCAACATAGACCACGACTTCAAGTATTAATTCTAAAGGACGAGGGATCGGTGTGTGGTCTTTGATATTTAGTTTGTATTTATTAAACAGATTAAAATATTCTATGACGTATGGGTACCCAAGAAATAGCGTATAGTACAATACGACGAAGAATGTCTCAAAATATGCTAATTTGTAGAACCAGTGATAACGTAATATTTCCCATAATGCATTTGTAGACTCCTGGATGACGTCAATATTATACCAAAATGTAAAGCATCCCACGAGGCAGATTACCCGGGCTGTCCACGTCAACGTGTCATTTGCTAGAGACTGCATATTCAACTTCAGTTTTTTCACAATATGTCGTCTGCGCGATAAGAGTCCAGGAGAGCCTTTATATCTAGAAGAGAAGCAGACACAATTGTGAAACAACAATATTCATACGAAAACTCCATTGACCTAACGCGGAATACCCGGATGTGAAGAAGTGTA